AGAATAAGGGGCCCTCAAAGTGTGGCCCTTGGACCACAGCAGCAGCAGTACCTAAGAACTTGCTCTAATTATATCTTCAAAGGCCAGCTGAGTCAGAAACTCTGGGAATGGGGCCCCCATGGTCTGCTGGAGAGATACCCTACTGTAATGGAGTTGGATTACTGCTGAAGCATTTCATTTCAAGGACCAGGTCAAAAGAATATTATTTGAAATTGTTTTGCTGAAAACACATTAACTCTGGCTCTTTTATCGTCGTGAGTTAAGAGTCCTGTAGAAAACTGAGAATGAAAAGATTGCTAAGAGCTCTCAGAAGTTATTAGGGCAAGGAGTTTGCAAAGGTGGCAGTCAATGGAAGCCTAAGGACCTTTGAACTCACACTAGGAGACTGGGGGCATATTTCAGTCCGTAGTAGAGAGCATGCTTTGCAGCATGCGGACCTGGGTTCAATTCCCGGTACTCTCCCCCACCAATAAAAGGGGAATGAATCTCTAGGGAGTTCCTAAAATAAAATGTATTATCCACATTGATGTATGTATTATTATACATATGCTTGGTGACTGCTCTTTTGATCATCCAAATTTTTCTCTAAAACGACTCTGAATTATCTGTCAGAAGAAAATGGTTTGGGGACTTCTTAATCATCTTTGTGTCCTCATTACCTTCCAGAGTGCTCGGCACAGAACAGATACATAATAAACCTTTATATTAAATGAATTCGTGAGCAGAATAGTCATTTCATGTATTCAGGCTCGCTTTGAAAAAAAAATCCCCTTTGAATGGGTTATTTCAGTTACTATTGAAGAATATTGGCTGCCTTGGGCAATATGGACAGTTATTTTCAGCCATTAAGGATTGTACTTCCCCAACATTCAAAACAATAGCTACAGCTTTTCGAAGAGAGGGGAAGACCCTTGTATAGAGAGTGCACAGTCCACATCTTGAAATGCCTCAAAAAATGGGGCTGGAGCGATAGCACAGAGGGTAGGGCATTTGCCTTGCACGTGGTCAACCCCAGTTCAAGTCCCAGCATCCCATATGGTCCCCTGAGCACCGCCAGGAGTAATTCCTGAGTGCAGAGCCAGGAATAACCCCTGTGTACCGCCAGGTGTAACCCAAAAAGCAAAAAAAAAAATTTTCATTGCTGCTGGTTAACCTTTTCAGTGACGGGCAGGTTTGTCAGTGTGGGCTCTGGGGGCTGGATAATTCCCCCAGAATTGGTGGTGGAAGCTCTTCTGGACATTGCTATAGTATCCTTATCATCTTTCTCCACTGTGACCAGCAAAGTGTCTCCAAACACCACCAAATGTCCCTTGGAGAGTTCAAATTTGCCCAGGTAGAGAATCACAACTCTAATCTTACATTAGAAAGTGTAACTTTCATCATTCAAAGCTACAGAACAAGCTTCGAGAAGGCATATATGGTCTACTTTTCTCTGCAGCTCACTGTTGGGGACTGTTCCCTGACAACCTTGCTGACACTCTCACTCAGGGTAGTGTCCCCCCCCCTTACTGTTCCTATGATATTTGCTTTAAATATCCCTCCTGTTTTCATTTAATGTTTTGAGGTGGGGGAGAAGAGGCGAAAGCATATAGGCATCACACACTTTACAAGAATACCTCTTTTGAAAATTTTAAATAGATTATATTTGTTATATGCCTGTCAAAGGTTGGTGGGGTGTTCGGGGGGGTAGCAGGAAACCTGGGGACACTGGTGGAGGAAAGGGGACACTGGTAGTGGGATTGGTGTTAGAACACTGTGTGTATGCTTGAAACAAATGTATTATGAACAATTTTGTAAATCAATGTTTTCATAAAAAATTATATAAGTCAAACTTTTGTTAGAAAATAGAAACCTTATATCACTCTCCTCTGTTTCATCTAGCAGAAATGAAAGCTAGGAGACAAAAAACATTTTAGAGATTTAAGTACCTTTCTTTCAGTCCAAACCGTTTTCCATTAAGTCACCAAATTAACTAGCACAACATACAGGCGCTTACTAAATACTCCCTAAGTGCTTTAGCCACTGACATTTGAATATACAAGAAAGATTGCAGTGGAGACACCCAAGGAAATATGGGCACTGTTCAACAAGGACAGCCCCACAAACGTTACCATGGCAAAACTAGACGAGTTTATAGTGTTACCACGCATGCTGTTGGCATATGTTGTAAATAAACAATGTAAGGGCCAGATTCTTGACAAATGAATGAATACACATATTGAGCATATGAAGCACTCTGAAAGCCGAAACAGTTTCCTGAAATGTGTGAAGGGAATCATCAGGAGGAAGCCAAGGAGAAAGGTACTTGGTTTCAACTTTCACTTAGGAAATCCCAGTTCATGAGAACCAAGGAAAGTAAGGGTTTCAGAACCCATTCCCTATAATTCAGGCCAGACCTGTCTGGGAAAACAACACACCACTAGCTGGGGGAGAGAAAAGAAAGAAATATAAATTCTGATTTTTAGTTTTTCATAAAAATTTCATACCAACTAATCGGAATCCCTCCAAAAGGGGAGAATTAAAAGAAAAAAGAAACCAGAACCCATCAGCAAACAAGTAGCGGATTAAAAAAGATAGCCTATTAACATGACAGATGAAGATACGAGGTGAGAAAAAAACATGTCTATAACAAAGCCCATAATTTGGAAATTGCGAAATCAAAGTCAAGCAGTTAATTACTAACAAAGACAGCAACAGTGCTTCTTTTGTCTTCCATGGTGAATGCACAATTAGCACTTAATACTAAGACTGAGGAATAAACCATCTATAATCTACTGAAAAAGACCATCTGCTTCTATAAATTTTGTTCTTATACACTTGCCAAAAGAAGAGAACATATTAACAAAATAATGGGCCCTGCACTGTTAATTGCTGGGTTGTTTGCAGTTGTGCTGTTGCTATTAGAATTTAATAAGCCATTCCTTCTGCTAAATTAATAAGCAGCCAAGATTATGTAATAGCTGCTTTCAACTGCTAATTATTTTTCCCATAATTCCTTTCCCTCCTTCCCCCCTCCAACTGCCACCTTTGGGGGGGGGGGGTAGGAACATCAGTGACTGCCAGTGTGTCACCAGCAGTCCTGTCCTCATTTTATAAACTAAAGATGTGCGTCAGGAGCATAATTAATGAGTTGAAATTTGAAGGTGGTTACCTTGGGAGGCTTGAGAAGATCAATGCTTTGTATAGAAAAAGAGAAAAGCAGCATTGGGATTTGGAAGGTGAGTTTCATTGCACAGTATTGGATGTATATTTGAACAGACTAAAGGCGTCAGTTGAGTGTAGTAAGGTCCATGAACAAGGACCTTTGGGGCATGATTAGTAAGGGAGCAGAGAGAAATTTGGGTAGGGAGCCAAAGACCTACAAAAAGCCAGTTTTGTGTCAAACACTTTAATATTACAGTACACATTATTCATATTCGTTTGTAGGCAATTTTCCAAGCCACACAGTAGTGCTTATGCGGAGGGGGGTATTAGACATTTTTATTTTGACAAGAGCACTTAAAATGTCTACAAATACTAAGTTTCATATCCGTTTTACCACACACAAAAGAACACAAGCCCTTCAGATTGCTTAAATTTAGCGGCATGAAAAACTTCGTATTTCTTTTTCACTTTGGGCCATTAAAAAAATTCTGTCGATTATGTTTGGGAACCTCTGCAAAAAAAAGGGCGCAGTTCAACAAAAGCAATTTTCTAGCTTCCTTTGTAAGAACCCAGTGACGGGGTAATGTATAGCATTCGACATAAGAAACCCGCGGCTGTTCAAGCAAGGTCACTTAATCCCGTGGGGCTCCCGTTTCCTCATCTGTAAAAGATGAGTCAAACTGATGATCCGTTCACTCTTTCATTCAAAAAAAAAAAAAGCGAACATCCATTATGTGCCAGGCACAATGCTCAACACTATGGCTTTTCACAAAGCGATCACTCTATAGTCCTTATCAGTCAACTCACATTTATTAGTGTTGCACATCAGTGCACGGGGGTAAAATGCAAAATTGGATAAAATGCAAGGATGCTAAGTGAAGGCTAATTGGGCAGGTGGGCTGGAAGAGGGACTTGCGCTTACAGGGTCTGTGGGGGGAGGCTTCCGTAAGAGCTGTGACATTTGACAGGAAGGGCATGCCCGGCAGAACCAGTCATCTGCAGGACACCCCGTAGTCGGGGGGGGGGGGGGGGAGCCGGGTGCGTGTAAGGGAATCGGGATCTTGAAGACGCGCAGTTTGGGTGTTGGGGCAGAGAACCAGACAGTAACTCAGGTCGGCGGCTAAGGACGGGCGAGGCTAAGCCCAGGAAAGAGCACCGCTTGGGGACAAAACGTGGCTGCGTCTGTAGCCGGCCGATGGGGGAAGAAAAGGGACAGGATTCCGGACAGCTTTGTGGCAGGATAACTGCAAAAAAAAAAAACCCTCAAACGCTTTCGCAAGCTGCACTACCGAGCCGATCTGTTTACTCTAGAGTTGCGAGTTGCGGCACTCGCTCAGCCGCTGTCACTATCAAAGCGGCGATCACACCTCCCCGGCTCGCTCTCTCGGGGGTTGCGGGGCGCTACCGGAACCGACCTCGGCTCTTCACGGGCCAGACCTCCCAGGCTCCCTGCGCAACCCCCCTCCACCTCCTCCCAGCAACCGGGTCGACAAAGGGCAACGCGGAACCCTGACCTCCTTCCAACAGACCGCCAGGGCAGGCGCCCGGGAGCGTGCGTCCAGGAAGAGCGGCCAGGGGTGCGCCGGCGCGCCGGCCGGGCCGAAGCCGCTTCCGGGTCACGTGGCCAGACTTCCGGCCGGCGGGTCCCACCCCCCGGGTAGAGTCGCGGCCAATCGGCGCGCTCGGCTCGTGCTGTTCCCTGCGCAGGCGCGGAGGCCAATGCCCGCGTCCCCCCGCGGCTTCCCGCCCGTCGCTGGGCCCGCCCCTGCGCTCGCTGCAGCCCCGGCTCCTCCCCCGTCCGGCCCCCAAGGCGGGGTCTGTCGGCTTCCCTCCCCTCGCTGCCAGCTTCTCGCTTCTCACTCTGCCAGCCGGCTCCCCGCCACTCGGCACCACGGCTTCCCTTCCCGAGCCCGGCGTGAGGGGCTTCCCCGTCGCCACCGCCGGTGCCACCATCTCGTCCACCGGCCAAGCCCCGCCGCTCCCGCGGCCCGCGGCCGCCGTAAGTCCCGGGGTGGGGTGGGGGGGTGCAGCGGACAGCGCCGGGGACCGGGAGGTGGGAGCGGGAGGCGGACGCGCCCCCCCCACCCGGTCCCCCGAGTGCGCGCCCCGACGACCCCGGCGGTCCCCAGCCGGCCGCTCCTCCGGGGATGCTCCAGCGCGCCCGTAACTCACTTCTCTCCGCGCCCGCGCCCCTCACTGCACTCCGCGCGGCGCCCCGGGATGGGGTAGGGTGGGGGGGACCCGTGCCCGGCGCGGCACCTGTGGGCCGGGGAAGCACCCTAAGTTTTGCCTTGGCATTTTTTGCGGGGAAAGGGCCGGCGGGGGTGACGGCGGCGGCCGATGCCATTGTCTGCCCCGCGCCCTCCGGCCGCCCGGGGATGGAGCGCGGCTGCCGGGGCGCTGGGATGGAGCGCGGGCCCCGAGCCATTGTCTGGAATGCCACCCTCGAGGAATCGAGGTGCCCTGTGATTTGCGGCAAAATCCAAGCCGGGGGGAGAGGAGGGTGGCGGCGGGTGGGAAGCGGGGAGAAGGACGCCCGGTGCCCGGCGCCCGCCCGGGGAAGCGTCCCGCGTCGGCGCGGGGATTGAGGGTGAACCGATCGACCGGGGGAGGGGGGTGGATCTGGGGATTCGTCCCATAAAGTGTGCTCGGGGGGCGCCCCGGACCCCGCTGCATGCCTCCCGGCGCCCCGGGTTCTTTCGCTGGCACCCCGCACCCCTCCCGGGCACCGGGATCCTGGAGAGTCTGGAATGCGGGTCCATTCGCCAAGTTCTCTGCTAACGGATTTGCAGCGAACGGTTGTTGAGCGGCGGTTTTCCGTTGTTGTTGTTGTTGTTTTTTGGTGTTTGGGGATTTTTTTTAGTTGATGCTGCCCCCTTCGAATGCCGTTAATTTCAACGGGACTTGCCGGGCGGGGGGGGTACTTTTGATGGCACGGAGGCTGGTTCCGTTTATTTTATGCCAGCGAAGCGTTTTGAAGTGTGCTCTAATAAGCCACTTTCAACTTGAATAAAGTTAAATTGCTGCATCGCAGATTTCCTCGTAGCTCGTTGATGCCCACTTGGGCTCTCCCGAAAAGCGACAGTCATTTCTTTTCTCGGCGAAATTTAGGGCTCGTTTTCTTCTCGGTTGGTTTTGTGAAATTCCCCCCCCCCACCCCCACCCCGTGTTCAAATCCAAGATGGTGTGGTGAATATTAAGAATCAGACTGGCGGCTTACTGGCTATAACACTATTAGAGGAATTTACAACAGTTGAAAGGGGGAAAGGCTGTTTGAATTCTACCTTCAAATTATCTTTGTAGAAACAATGCTTATCTGTCTGCAGTTGGGAAGACCAGTTGAAGTACAAGGTTTGCCTAAACATGCCAACAACAGACTTCCAGATTTCAAATAAATATACAAAATAGTTTAAGTATGCAGTGCGTTAGAAATCAACATCCATTCCATCTGTGGTTGCTCTTTTGTTGTTTTAAATGAAATATTTATTGTAATATCTCTGGATGTAACTTATTTTGGCTTTAAAGGTTTATATTTTTTCATGATATTATCACTCACTCCCTTCTTTATGTGCATATTTCTGTTGCAATTTTTCAGAAGAGATCTTCCAATCAGACTTTATTCTGAAAAAATGTGCATTTGAGGGGATGGGGTGGTAATTTCAGGTCTTTTGCTAAAAATTTATAAGCATTACCTGAAGACACCATTCAAAATGATGGCAGTCTGTCAACAAGTAATTTACCTAGGAACTAAGACAGCCTCAGATTAAAAGATGGCAAATCTGCTATTTTCAAATGTACCTAAGCCAGTCGATGTCAACAATTGTCTTTGGGTACAGAGGAGTGTAGCACAGGTAGACAACAGTTTCTTAATCTCAAGAATTATCTTTCTTTTATCCTCCAGATTTACCTGTTTTACTTGTTTGTTTTTTCACTCACACTTCTCTAAACTTACTGTGAATAGGGTGGGAGTGGGGAGATTTGCATCAAAGGGAAAGATCTTTCTACAGGAATTTCCTGCTGTTTTAATTGGCATACAGAAATATTGATGACTGCTAATCGGTTTTGTTAAACACCTGGTCCCCAGAGCCTCTCTATGAAACATGTCATCTTAATCGTAACTTTACTGAATCAAAATATTGCATGTAATCTTGGTTCTGTTTATCTTAACAGATGCAGTTTATGTTGCTTTTTAGTCGTCAGGGGAAGCTTCGCCTGCAAAAATGGTATGTCCCACTGTCGGACAAAGAGAAGAAGAAGATTACAAGAGAACTTGTTCAGACCGTTTTAGCCCGGAAACCTAAAATGTGCAGCTTTCTTGAATGGCGTGATCTGAAGATTGTTTACAAAAGGTATTATTTTTATCAGAAAGGTGAAATGCAGAATCAAATGTTAGCTTATTTATAATATAGAAATTGCCCTCTTGAGAGATGACATTTATAAATCGCAATAAAGATTTAGATGTATAGGTTTAAAGTAAACCTTTATATTTTAAAAAATGACTGATGATTTTCTTGGTTACCCAGACTCGATGATCAAAATCTAGGGATTTTTTTAAAAAAATTATTTGCATAATTAAGGCAAAAATGATTTCCCATGCTTAATCATCTGTTTAGGAAAATACAATAAATTCATGTCTTTACCATGGAAAATAGGATTGGTATTTCCAATGTGTGACTTGTTGACTGAATTGAAATATGCTTTGTGCCTCTTTTTCCCCACCCTCACATCTAAACTGAATAGCATCTAGCATGCCTTTTATCTGACTTTAAAATCTTATTAATCAACACCTCGGATACATGGACCATATTAGTCATATGTTAAAAACTCTATCTACAGGATTTATTCTTCATACTGTTTATTAATTTGAAGTCCACAGCGTTGCTGTGGTGGAGGTGAGAACAGATCTGATAATTTCCCCAAGAATACATATTACAATTTTTGATGTTGCAAAATGACTCAGATTGGCTTGTACACTGAGCTTTTGTGGAGGTGGGGGCGCACCCTCTGGCAAGTGCTCAGAGCTTACTCCTGGCTTTGCACTCAGAGATCACTCCTGGCAAGGTTCTGGCTGCCGGGTGCCAGGGATTGAACCCGGGTTAACTGCATGCAGGGTCAAGCACCTTATCCTTGTACCATCCCTCTTGACCAAACACTAAGGTTTTTATTTATTTATTTAGCTTTTTGGGTCACACCCAGCGATGCACAGGGGTCATTCCTGGCAGCTCTGCAACTCAGGAATTACCCCTGGCGGTGCTCAGGGGACCATATGGGATGCTGGGAATTGAACCCTGGTCGGCTGCGTGCAAGGCAAACGCCCTGCCCGCTGTGCTATTGCTCCAGCCCTACACTAAGGTTCTTAAACAATTCTATACATCTTTATTAGTAGCTGAGGCTCAGTTTCTTAAATTTCACAAGATTGCTTTAATCTTTTTGAAGAAATATCCTTATTGTTCTCTATTTCTGTTCCCTTATATAGAACTTCTGAATTTAAGAGCATTTCTGCAAGTAAAAATTTCTTTATTATCTGCATGGAACTAATTTTTTGGGCTTCCAGGATTGAAGAGGAGTCTGAATTTTGTCTCATTTTCCTTTGTTTCATGCCAATAATTTTTGGGGGAAGGGCGCTACATAATAGGAAGTAATGGAGATTACTTAAGTAGTCTTAAGTAATCTCTTCACGGTGGGATCGTCTTTGGATTATTTTGTATTCAGTGTTACTTGTTGAGAAAAATCGTTCTTTTTTGGGGCGGGGGGTCCACACCTGTTGGTGCTTACTGCTACTGGCTCTATGCTCTCAACAGTGATTCCTGGCAGTGTGCATGCAGCTTACCAAATGTGCTACTGAGGAATTAGATCGGGGATTGGCAGCATACAAAAGCCAGCACCTTACTCCCTGTACTCTCTCTGGCCCCTGTCATAGCATTTTAGAGCTGGGAACTGTCTCAGAATAATGTAGTCAAATGATTTTTGTTTGTTTGGGCACCATGCCAGGAGGTGCTCTTAGGCTACTCCCAGCTTTATGCTGGAAGTCACTCCTGGCAGTGCTCAGTGGACCAGGTAGAACCGGGGTCTTTAACCTAGGTATCCTGCATGCAAAACATGTGCTCATTCTGATCAATCTCTTTGGCCCCTCAAGTGACTTTAAAAGCGTTTTGTGCCAAGGATAGAAATTCAAATGGAGCTGTTCCTATGAGATCAGGAGTGGTATCCTAAAGCCAAGTTTGAAAACCATTGCTATTGAAACATCAAATTTGTGTAAAAAATGAGAATTTGGGACAAGTGCCTAGTTTATGGTCCTCTGCTAGTTAGTAACTGACACAGGAGTTTAGAACTCAAATCTTAGGGATGGAAAAAAGATAATTAACATTTCTTAACAGATTGTCAGTTGTGAGGCTGGAGAGATATAGTACAGTAGGTAGGGCACTTGCCTTGCACTCAAGCCGACCCAGGCTCAATACTTGGCATCCAATATGGTCCCTCAAGCACCGCCAGGAGCTGAGCATCGTGAGGTGTGGCCCCCAAACCAAAAATAAAGAAAGGAAGATTGTCATTGGGAAATGGAGGTGGGAGGGAGGAATGGTCAAGACTACTTCATGCTGACGTCCTGGAAGCTGACAGCTGCTGGGTGCTCAGCAGACGCAGGGGAAAGACAGCCTTGACCCTGGTAAGTTCTAGAAAGCCTGATAAGTCTTTGAAGTGGGGAGGGTCTGCAGTGAGATGATTCAGCACTTCAAGTTCAACTCATGGCTAGTAAGAAAGTTGACTTGGAGGGGCCTAGTTTTGGAGGGAAGTCAGGGAAAGAGGCAGAGCGTCAGCTCAGAGACATTCAAGCAGCCGGTAAAGGGGAAGCCAGGAGAACATAGTGAGGATCCTCAGGGAAGGCGAGGCTTCAGAATAATATTTGGGGTGCAGGGAGAGAGCTCAAAGGGTTGCAGGGGATGCTTTGCATGTGGGAGCCCCACGTTTCCTCCCACCACCTGGTACCCTAAGCACTGCAGGTATGGTTTTTCTACCTGCCCCCCTCGCCTGGAGAAGACCAGCGCTCCTGATGGGGCTCAAAGGTAAAACATACGCCTCCTATCCAAGAGATCTGGGTTGATCCCTGGAATCACACACACACACACAAAATTTCCAGTGCCACATGTCACGTAAAATTCAGTTAAAGTCAAGAAAGCTTTGATTAGATTTGGCGAAGCCTGGCAAGCTCCCCGTGACGTATCCGATATGCCAAACACAGTAACAACAAAGTCTCATAGTGGAGACGTTACTGGGCCCACTCGAGCAAATCGCTGAACAACGGGAGGACAGTGACAGTGACAGATTAGATTCAAATATACCAAACAGCATTTTGTAAAATATCCTTTGTTGGAGCATTTTCATTGGCTTCTTGTGAAGAAATGGGGTTAAGTGTAAAAAGGTAGAGACATTTAAAGAACAAGCGTAGACTATTTGGGGGAGCTTTTTTATGAAGAGCTGAAGCAGTGGTAACCACCCATAGACATAGGGACAGAGGACGGAGGAGTTTTTAAAAAAGCGTGAGAGTGATTTCTAGATAGGAGAAGGACTCCCCCGTGTGGAGGAAGCTAATACTAGCAAGGGAATCAAGATCCCTGAAGGAGCGGACGCTGGTTGGCTTCCTGCAAACAGCATTCAGCCGAGCCATTTGGACCACTGCTTTCCCTTTAAAGACAGTGAAAGGCTAATCTGCCTGGCTTTGATACTGCCATCAGGTTCCAATAAATAAAAGGTGGACTTAGAAAAATAACAGCTTCTGGGACTAGAGCGAGAGCATAGCGGGTAGGGCATTGTCGACCCCCGGCATCCCATATCATGCCCCGAGCTCTGCCAGGAGTGATTTCCGAGTGCAGAGCCAGGAGTAGCCCCTAAGCATTGCTGGGTTGGCCCAAAACCCAGTAAAAGGGGTTGGGGGAAGAGAAAATTAACAGCCTCATTGATACATAGTTCACACGCACATGGAAGTTAGAATTTATAATTAGCTTTTTAATGCCTCCCCTCATTTTAGACCGGAAACCTCATCTATTGTACCACAGAAGAACTATTTTTTATTGATATTGGCAATTTGTCTTCTCTAGGCCAGCTGGAAGATAAGACTTCCAAAGCAAAATAATTACAGCTTCACTCCCGAGAAATTCTAAACTAGCACTGTTCGTATTAGCAAATGATCTTTGTTTTCCTTCAAGTGGTATCATTTATATTCTTCATCCTGAGTACTTTATAAATACAAATTCCCCTGTTTTGGAGGGAAGAGTGGGAGAGGAATAAGATAATATAGGTAGGGAAATAAAAAAAAAAACCTGGGTGCTTGAGTTCCATGTGTTCATGCCATTGGCTACTTCTGTGACTGTCACAAATGTCATATTGCCTCTGTTTCATTTCTGAAATAATGTTCCTGAAGTTCCCTTGAAAACAGAACAATATGCTTTCTGAGATTTCTATTTTGTGCAGCATTTTAGGAAGAGGCACCAGATTAAAGTCTTAGCATTATTTTAAAGATACATATCTGAATTACTAGCTTGAGAATTTATCGAGGAGTTCTGTATTGATTTTCCTGAACAAAAGAATTTTTAATGACATACCCTGGGCATTGGGAACAGTTTAGTTACATTCACCCACGGTCAGCTGATATTTAGCTGACTGCAGAAAAGTCATGTGTTTTGAATATAAGAATAGGCACTTTCAGATCTTTGGACTGCCAGCAATTAAAGCCTTAATCCACTCTGCTAAAAGTAACCTAACATACCTTTCTTCTTACTAGTGTATTACTAATTTTACTTCAGATTTAGAGTACAAATATGTGTGAAGAGAACAAAATCAGCTCCTTGAACTTTTCAAAGCTGTTTTTAAAAATAGGGAATATACTTCAGGTTCTCTTGGTGATCTTTAGCTAAGTCAGCATAACAGTTTGTATTTCTCTCTTTACAACACACAAAATGTTGCTTTGACTGTGCTTTAATTTTTGCCAGCTGCAGGATGTTTGATTTAGTACAGTTCCTAGCTATAGTTTTTAATATAAAATTTGGTCTCTGGAGTCAAATCACTGTTCCTGGACAGATTACTCAATTAAGCCTGGGTCTCCTATAAATGCAAGTAATAACCATATCTCTCTGGAAGAGTTGTTGTGGGGATTAAAATGGCAACATATGTCAAAGCCTTAGCCAACATTTAGTTCCTCACCCTGAATGAGTACCCCATGAATGTTTTATGCTTCTGTTTCTTCCATAAGCATTCTGGGGAAGAGGTGTCTTCTCATGATCCTGGTGACAAGATGTTTTTCTACAACAAAGAAAGCATAACTGAATAGCACTTTCCCTTTTCTGAATGAAAACAAATACTGAGATCGTGTTGCGGGTTTTAAAAAAATGCTAGTTGATACTCAGAATGTTTAGGTTAAATATTCAAGTAATTTAGGTTGTTGACTTGTGTTCACATGCTATGAAAGAGAAGTGAGAATGATCCCTGAGCACTGAGCTGGGACTAGCCCCTGACCACTGCCATGAAACAAAAACAAAGAGTGAGGATGATGCAAGCATTTAATTAACAGCGCTGAAGAAACCTTGCAAATCAGTGTAAAGGGGAACAGGGAGGTGGCTTCCCGGTAGAGAACACGCCTCAAACGTGCGAGGCCTTGGGTGGGATCCTGGCACCACCAACACTACAAAATGAGTTAAAGGAACTTTAGCCCAAGCTAGTAGTAAATTATTTGTAATGCAGTCATTAGCACTTTATTTATATCAAGTTTTCAATCTAACATCTATTTAGTGAGCATGAATAATGGATAATGAAAAGTTGGAATGGCCACTGGGCTACTACTTTAGACAAATGGGCCTTTTAGATAAATAAGCAAAAACCAGGGTAGTGATAAGAAAGAGGCAGTATTCAGCTAAGCTCGGAGGCTTTGTGGTAATAAACGAACGCTTCAGAATGCCTCCTCGATAAGAGCACAGAAGGCCACTATTTCCAGTGGCTGACTGAGGTAGGGATGATGGTAGAAGGGGCAGAAAATTATGCCGAGTGTACGGCGGAGAGTGATATGCCGAGAGTGATAAAGGCCTGGAGATAAGGTCAGAAGATCAGGTTCTTCTTGTCCTGGTACTACTTAGTCTAACCCTTGAGCCTCACGCCTTTCCACCTCTCTCCCTCCCTTCACTCCCTCCCTCTTTCCTTCCTCTGATCCCCAAACTAGAATTGTGCATCTGTATATTATTCTACATTAATGTGATAAACAGTCATTTCCCATGGTGGTTTCTAAAAAATCATTTAAGATGCTCCTAAATTAAAATCATGATTTCAATTGAGACTTATTTAGATCTCAGATCTCAATGTTTTCTTCTTTTTTGGTGCCAGAAACCCAGGACCCGTACACGTGTGTCATGAGCACTACTGCTGAGCTATATCCCAGCCTATTTTGCTTCTGTGAAAGCACGAACTATACTTAAAAACCATTTAAAATACACTTCTAATCCTCCTCAAAGGATGTAGTCAGCTTTTGCCAGGCCTCATGGATGCATGTTAATAGCTTCTGACTTCTTGCATCAAGTGTAACAATCCTGTGTGCTAGAACCCTAATTTGGAACCGAACGTGTTTTCCAGCCTTATTTCTTGATCAAGGCTAAGTAACTTAAAGTTTAATTCAACAGGAAAGAACTTGAGAAATTTGAGGACAAGTCTGAGTTTTATCCTGTTCCTTTTTAAAACTTCCACAGTTGGGGCTGGAGCTATAGCACAGCAGGGAGGGTGTTTGCCTTGCACGTGGCCGACCCAGGTTCGATTCCCAGCATCCCATATGGTCCCCCAAGCACCGCCAGAAGTAATTCCTATGTGCAGAGCTCAATTCCTGAGCATCAGCGGGGATGACCCAAAAAGAAAAAAGAAACTTCCACAGTTACATCTATTGCCAGTTTTTATCCAAAATCCTGTAACTAGTTTTTGGGAATTCATTGCTCTTAGAAGTAAAGATAACAGTTATGGGTGGGGGTTGGGGCCGGTGACCTGGAGAAGCTAGGAGAGGGACTCCAAGAATTAATAGGCTTTTTATTTTCTCTTTTTCACTTTTTCTTTTGTGTTTATTTCTTTTGGCTTGGGGACCACATCCTGTGTTTTTTAGTTGAGGCTCCTGGCGAGGCTCAGGGACCTTATGTGGTACTTGGGATGGAACCTGGGCCCGACCTGTGTGAGTCAGTCATTCTCTCGTACCTCCTGTGCTCTTGCTCTGGCCCATATTTAAATTTTTTTAGGTGCAAGGGGGTTGAACCCACCGGTCCTCATACCTGCAGAACATGGGATCTACCACCAAACTTCAGTATTTTTTTTCTTCACCTGGGTGCGAGTCTATGGGTCTCTTCATGTCAAATCCTTGAGTCAAACACATTTCAACTATGTTCTTCTCTCTGTGTGTATTATACCCAAAACTTTTTAGCATATTGACTGTGTTAATAGTATCCTCAGTAAGTGTTTCAATGGGAGAGCTCGTTTTTTTCCCCTGTTGAAATCAGAATTAATCACAGTGCATTTTGTAAGTGTCAAACAACATAGGTTACTCTAGGTTCCATTTTTCTTTCCTTAACAGTTGCCATACCCAGCAACGATCAGGGCTAGCAGGGCTGTGTGTGACTGCGCTCAGAGGACCGAGCAGTGCCAGGAATCAAATTCAGGGTATCACCCCTATTAACCATGTGCTCTCCCGTTTGAGTGACAGTATCTCTCTGTACCCGTGGGTCACTTCTGTTCAAGAACAATGGTTTTCAGCTGCCATTCCTTGCACTATGCCAGTTCGCAGGATTAAAAAGGTAGGATTCCAGTGCTCTGCTGGTCACGGTCAGTCTGCAGACGACGGCTCAAACTGGTCGTGATTTCCAGAGGTGTACAAAAAGATGGTAACTGTGAGCTGGAGCGATAGCACAGTGGGAAGGGCGTTCACCTTGCACGTGGCCGTCCCGGGTTCAATCCCCAGCATCCCATATGGTCCCCCGAGCACCACCAGGAGTCATTGCTAAGTGCAGAGACAGGAGTATCCCCTGTGCATCGCTGGGTGTGACCCCCCCAAAAATAAATGATGGTGACCACTATTTCAGATTATTCTGAGACGGAAGAAAAGGAAGAAGAGCCTCAGGGAAGAAAAGAAAGGTACTCTTTTTAGATCAGGTGATTAACTTTTCTTCCTGGTTTGCCTGTCTTTTTCAAAATTTCTTTTCCATACCTGTTTAGCGGACGGGAGGGGAACATCCAGCATGGGGGCCTGAAAATCCTGTGGTCTGGCCCTGACCCATGACAGACACAGATGTTCCTCCCTGCTGCCTCTGGCCGGCGGCCTGTATTGGATCAATGTGACAGTGTGATGGTTCCCAACCCCTGCTCCAGGATTCAAAGAATCTGTAAACAAAGAAATGAATTCTAAAAGGAATGCGGTCTTTGACAACAGGGTATGAGAATGTGTTTAGAACATATTATTATGAAGTTTTCCCACGTTTGTTTTTGTTTCAGATATGCTAGCCTGTATTTTTGCTGTGCGATTGAGGATCAGGACAACGAACTGATCACCCTGGAAATAATTCACCGTTACGTGGAGTTGCTCGACAAATATTTTGGCAGCGTGAGTAGTGTTTTAGGAATTGGAATGCCATTGTGTTTCTTTTCATCTTTTCTATTACATGCTTGTTAATGGATCATTTTGAGAATTGTTTGAAAATAATCTGTGAAAGGGAAGGGAGTGACTTTCTCGTCAGTGTGCCTAGTCAGTTGCCTGCCAGAATTCTTGACCTCATTTAATGATGGTGCTGAGTATGAGATTTAAAATAGTAGAATAGGAACGGAGTACAAGTAGGAGCATTAATATTCTGGAACTATTTGGTGGAGAATTTAGGGTGGGTTAGCAGCTATAATCACATTACCCAGAAGATGTGTGTTTTTCAAAGATCTCTTTTCATGAGCAGAGAATTAAGTTGCTCTGTTGGGAGCTTGCACAGTCAAGTCTTAACATGCGGGCATTATGTTTTCAAGATTTTGAGGTTTGAAAATTAAGCTGACTAAATCGATGATGCTTATTTAGCAAGGTATTTATTTTTAGAAAGAATTAAGATTGATTCGCTTGAGTCAGAACTTTCTCTCTGCCTGATAGGTTATGTGTCTTTTGCTTCCATTTTAAATCTGTATTAATATCTGCATGTGAATTATCTCATTCTTACTTTGGACAACCTGGCAGGCTACTGAATGTAACCTGCCCACACGGCAGAGTCTGGCAAACTCCCCGTGGCGTACCCAATATGCCATATACCAGTAACAATGATGGGTCTCATTCTCCTAACCCTGAATGAGCTTTGATCTCAGGGCTAGGACAAAGGAGACGTTACTGGGGCCTGCTCGAGGCAATCGATGAACAACAGGATGGTCGTGATCGTCATGATCGTGATGTGAATTACATATATACTGTGTTTTATGTGCGTTTTGCTTTTCAGGTGTGTGAGCTCGACATCATCTTTAATTTTGAGAAGGCTTACTTTATTTTGGATGAGTTTCTCTTGGGAGGAGAAGTTCAGGAAACATCCAAGAAAAATGTGCTGAAAGCAATTGAGCAGGCGGATTTACTGCAGGAGGTAAGTGACCTAAGCGTCCTCTTGGACGGACACCAGCATATTTTTGTTCTTGGTAGAGAGGTCCCAGTTGTCTTCCCTAGTTCTCAGTTTTACAGATGACTCTGAAGCGTGCTTGTCACATAATGCCTGTTTGCAGCTCATTGACTGGAAGATGTGTTGGTCATGCCCACTCTTGTGGTCGTTGGGTTCACATTGGAAGTGGTCTGTCTCTAAGACCCTCATTGATGCCCATTTTAGGACTCCAAACACTCAAGTCTAAGCCTTAAGGTGACAGACTGTAAGAAGGGGAATGATCCTTCAAAAGTAAGAGTCATTTGGAATAATCGCTTTTTCTCAGTGTGGCGAATCAGAAGTTGACTGTGAGATTTTCATTTTCATTCCATATTTTCATTTTCATTCCAGATTGCTTCACATCACTTCATATCCACTATATGCAGCCAAGCAAATGAGTGTTACATTAATTTTTGTAGAACCCTCTAGTTTTGTGTTAGCAAAACTAATTATAAACATACTCGTACTTTTTTTCACTCCTAAGTAACAAACCAAGTTCTATCAACAGACTACATTTTTTCAAGGCTTTGCAGCCACATCTCAGGGGTTCCTCCTGGTTCTGCACTCAGGAATTACTCCTGGTGGTGCTCAGGGACTCTATGGGATGCCAGGGATTGAACCCGGGTTGACCCCATGCAAGGCAAGTGCCTTACCTGCTATACTATAGCTCCGGCCCCAACAGACTGTATTTCCACCTTGCTTCCATGTCACCAGAACTAGTAACAAACCCTTTTACTTAGTAATCTCTACCGTTGTCTTGGCTTAATTGTATATTTTTTATATATTTCATTTGTGAAGTTTAATATTTCATAAAGTCACCCTTTTCTAAGAAATGATCGACAACTTATGCACCAAGTTAAACTTTAATGATAAGTATAATTTTTAATCAAATAGAATATTTATAGCATGACAAAAGGGGACTAAGAAGTATAAAAATGTGTTTTATGGTAATTATCTTTTATTATTAAAGAAGACTTTAAAGTCAGTATTTGAGCATTTCTGCTTTAATGGAAATATGAAGGGAAGAAAAGGAACTATCCTTTTTCCATTGGCCTCCATCTCGGCCTCTATCGGGATGGGAGCTACTCTAAGTGCTTCCTCTGCATCGTGCACTCTATGGCTCATTGCGGGGACTGCTCCAGTTGGGATGCCATCATCTGAAATCTCCCCATATTAAATTGGAGGCAGTGTATTTGGTGTGTCATGGTCTCGCGTTGTCAAAATAGGGATAGAGGTGCCCGCCGAAGTCAAGTACTTAACTTCCTCGACAGGCAGCCCTAATAGTGTCTGCTGTTCAGCAGTGAAATGAGCACAACACCTTTTCCATTTGTGCAGTTTGCCACGATTATTAAATGATTGCAAACGTCATTGTGAATTATTTTTTACTCACGTTTCTTCACATCGTGTGTGCTGGCTTCAAGCTCATTCTTTTGTTGTAAAATTGGTTTTAAAAGCACTTTTGCTGTTCATTGATCCGACTGTTCTAGAAATTGGAGCATAACTGGGATCAGGAATTAAGTTTTTGTCCTACTTGTCCCTCCCCTTGATGACAGTCACACTATGGAACTCTGCTGTGTCCTTCCAGATCCTAATATTTCTTCCCAGTCCCCCCTCATTTTCTAGTGCATTACGTTTGCTTTAAAATGACTCTCAAGTTATTAGGTTCTGCTTCTAATGTATTTTTTTCTGGAAGGTAATATTTATGGCACTAACATCTTATGCCCAGACTGCTTTTTCAATTCTACTTGGAAATTGCTACAGATTTTATAATAAGGATACACTAAATTTTTCTTAAAGCATACATTGAGTATATAATGTATTCAGATTTAAAAAGCGATTAGAGGCCCATATTTATTTTGCAGTGTGTAATTCCCCTTTTGAAGTATCTTATTAGGAAGTAACATATTCATTTATTTTGGTTTTTGGCTACATCTAGCAATGCCCAGGGCTTATTCCTGGCTCTCCACTCAAGGATCACTCATGGTGGAGGGCTCAGGGTAGCAGATGGGCACCGGGATGGAACCCAGGTCCACTGTGTGCAAGGCAAGTGCCTTACCCTTGTACTATCTCTCTGGCCCAACATCTCCTTGATACTGATATTTTTATAGCTTTAATTGGGAAAAATAAGATTGAGGGGAAAGTATAGGATCTCATTGGTCCCACATAAATAAAATTCTCCTTACACTATTTCACTCTAGTTCAAAAATGTTGACTATTGTATTTACAATTATCTGTCTCTAGAAAAAAATCTTTGGTCCTATTTCTTGTTTGATTCTTTACATTGTTTTGTATGTAAACCAAAGTGAGTAGTAGATTAACACTTTTTGTTTCACTCTGTTTGGGTTCCATACCTGGAGATGCTCAGGGGTTACTCCTGGCTTTGCACTCAGGAATCACTCCTGGTGGTGTTTGGGGGACCAGAATGTATGACGGGTATCACTCTGGCCCCCATTAAAACATTTTTTATTCAATAGCTTGAAAAAACATTTTTCTTATTTTTGGGTCACACCCAGCGATGCTCAGGGGTTACTCCTGGCTCTGCACTCAGGAATTACCCCTGGCAATGCTCAGGGGACCATATGGGATGCTGGAAATTGAACCCGGGTCGGCCACGTTCAAGGCAAACGCCCTACCCACTGTGCTATCACTCCAGCCCCAAAACATTTTTTTCTTAACCTTTCAATTCTATAGGAGGCAGAAGTGGTCCATTCTGGGTTTTATACAAATAATACTAAACAGCAGGTTAAAGGCTTTCTGCACCAACCTTAGAAATCTATATAGGGCAGTAAATCTTCAAGGTAGACAATTCAGCTTAACAGCCGAACCTGCTATGCAGATTATTCGTCAACATACTGTCAGAAGAAATCCAAGCATGACAAAATGCTTTATGCATCCTAAAATAGATTTGTTTCTAAGATAATGCACGGTACATGTTTACAATTCCTTTTGTTTGGTTGGTTTTAGTTTGGGGGTCACATCTGGCAATGTTCAGGGCTTACTCCTGGCTCTGCTCTCAGAGATCACTCCCAGCAGGCTCAGGGACCATCTGGGATGTTAGGGATCGAACCTGGGTCAGATGCATGAAGGCAATCCTCTTACCCGCTGTAACTATCTCTCTGGCCTAGCATGTTTACATTTCTGCAATGGTATTTGAATATGAGGTTTATAAAATAGAATGCAAAATGAGAAAAAAATCATTCCACCAACCTCTAAAAAAACACGTGTCTGAACACCGTGACAACAGAAAAGAAATGATAATAGCGACTGCTTCCTGAGTGCTTAGGAGTGGGTCAGCCTGTGCCAATCCTCAGGACCCCGAGGAGGGGTCAGCAGAGCCTTAATTCTAACAGATGCTCCAGAGTTTCTCATGGCTGCTTTGAAACCACCTAGTTAGCAGCTGGCACGGCCCAGATCCCAAAGCCACATCTGCTAGACTCTAGAGCTGTGTGGTGTCTGGACCACTCTGCTCTCTTCTCCCCACTGATGGATTGTCACGGTGTCTATGTTTTCAACATTCTGTTCTGGATATCCAATTCCTATATTTCTCCCTACAATAGAAAAGAATATAGTAAATGGTGTTGCTTCTAAAGTTATCTAAACGCAGCTCTAAATTTGTAGAAGCCCTAATTGTTTTTCATCTAGTTTTATATGTATTTGAGTTTCCTATTTGGTGTCACGTCTTTGAAGCTCAACCCCTAAGATGACTTTATAATGAAAATTCCGGTTGATCTTAGGCCTTTTAAATTCTGTGAAAAATACATTCCTATCCATAAGGATGTTTATTTTTTCAGATAGTTTTCTATAAAATTTCCCTTGTACCTAATTTGTATCAACAATGTGTACAGTTTAGGTAGGCCATATAGTGGATAAAGTAGACTTTCTATTAGCGTATCATAGTAATGAGAAAAAGATGTATTTGAATAAAATATCAGATATAATAAAATTTGAATAAAATATCAGGTATAGATATAATATCAGATACAATTAAACAATAAAGATGCTTTTTACTTAATCACATAGTAAACAAAGGTTCGGTTTTGACATTTCTAGACTGAATGGTTTTTATTCTTTTTAGTATTTGGTTGTATTAGTACATAATTAAATTTGGGGGTAAAGCACAGAAAATTAGTCCATTACCTAATTTTTAGTGTTTGGCTGTTGAAATTTAAAATGTTTTCTTAACATGCCACTGGTATTTAATTTGATTCTTTAATTATTAAAGTGCAGCATCCTGAAATTTCTAAATTGACATTCATTGCAATACTTGAAACATTTCCCACCATCGCCAATTAAATCCCTGTTCTAAACTAGATTCTTTTGTGGGGAGAGAGTGTTGGATTTATTTTGTAACATACATATGTACCGACAGAGGGAATATGTGGTGTTTTTTTTTGTAAAGACAGGCACTTACCAGTTTTTCTCTGCTCCTTAATTTTTTAGAGCCAGAATGAAGAATGGGGAGGTTTGTCTGAGGATTTCTTATGATAAAGCACAGTCTAAGGCTTTAGTTCGTTTCACCCCCAACTTATTTATTGGTAACTACTAAATTTACCATTTTTTGTGGCATGGATAAAATGGAGTGCTATGCGAAGACTGTTGCACGTGGGATGATTTCAACTCCTTGCTTGATCCGTGAAGATCAAATCCTTCAATCCTGGGCATTGGGCTTTAACCCTCAGCGGTGACTGCATGACGGTGCCGCCCAGCGCTTTGAGATGTGTCAGCCTTTCCTTTTTATACTAACAGCATCGTTTTGAAATTTGTGGGCTTTTCCTTTTGAGCTTTGTTTGCTGTTGGTATTGTTTCTCACTAGAGTAATTGAAGAAATGAAAGATGAGTGAGATACCAAAAGCAAGCATTACACTCATGAATTTGCTTCTACTTCCAGACGATCCACTGTATGAATAGTTTTACTGGATTTACAGTTGTTAATCTGTCTTGTCAAGAAAGTGGTGCTCTATGGAGAATTAGTGCTGCTAAAATTGATTTCTTTTAGTGCTGGGGCTGCATGATATATATCTTAGTATTTTGCAACATCTCTCTGGAAGTAATTAGTAGATCTGTTGGACTTCATAAAAATGGCAAGGTAAGAATTTTAGGAGTAACAGTAATGTCTTTTAAAAATGAACCTTTTGTGATTTACAATTATTTTAATACATATTTTGGAATATTTATTTATTTGGTTGGGGGGGCACACCCAGCAGTGGTTCAGGGCTTATACCTGTCTCTGCACTCCGGGATCACTCCTGGTGGGCTCGGGAAACCATATGAGGTACCGTGGATGGAATCCTGGTTGGTCGCTTGCCAGGCAAATGCCCTACCCACTGTACTATCACTCCGGCCCCTACTTTAGAATATTTAGTAATAGCTTTTTAACATGAAGTTTTGAGATCTAAATTAAACTCTTGCTGTAATGAAGAATATTTAGACATGCTATTTAAAATTGGGTCTTACATTATTTTTAAACATGCTTATAAAATATGCAGTATCATTTAACAACAAAAGTATTTTGATATAATTCTTAGTATTTGCTTTAATATGATAAACTCCAAATTATAAATTCCTCTGTAATTACCACTGTTTAAATTCAAAACTTTAAGCCTAAACTTTTTTCCTTTCTAGTTAGTGCTGTAGTTTCTTTTCATGCCAATATTTTTAAAATCTTTATAGGTAAACTTGATCGGATAACTGAAGTTTGGTTACACTGATCCCTGAAATGTAAGATATAAGCTACATAAGATATAAGATCTGATTGACTTTAGCTCCTAACGCAGAGCAAAACAGCTTGTGGGATATCACTATATAATTTGATTCCTCAATACACAAGGGTAGATACAGAAAATACATAAGGCTTATACAGTACAAATATGCTTTTCATTTTGTTTAATAAACAGTTTGCCGAATGTCCTTGCTAAGTGCTTTTTCATTTTGTAGTCATTTGGCTATATCTGTTTTAAGCTCGTTTTGCCTGCTTTTCAGAATTCAGAGTATTTCCTTCTCTTGCTTTTTCATTTTAGCTTATTTTGAGCTCTTAGAAGTCTGGGCCATTTAAAATGAAAAATTGAGAATTTTAAATATTCACTAACTATAAACTGATTTTTTTAAAGTATTGAAGTAGAAAAATAAATACACATGATATCAAATAATGACACCAAACAGAAGAAGAAAAATTGTTAAATAATATCTGTATCTTTTTTGTAGTCTCCATTTTTCTATTCTTTTCAGTGCTGATGCTTCTCCACTAAATTGGCTGCATGAGCTGCAAAAGCGCACTCCTAGGTGTTGGTGATTGTTTTTTCTTTAAAAAGTACTTTCTGAAAATTATCATGGTGTGAGTCCCTTTTTTACCCCTACTGACAATTCATTTTATGTTCCTTCGTTTCTACTGTTGCCTTTTTAAAAACAAATTTACCACTATAGAAAAATTGGCAAACACAGAAGAGCACACTGGAACATTAATCTTAGCCAGCAACCAGAGAAAAAAATAGGTTAACTCAGTTAATCTTGATTCTCATTTGGGGTGCTGATGGTAGTTCTCCTTCCTTCCAGGCCTTTGGGCATTGACTAGATAAGTTTTTGTTTATCGTTCCAACTGACTCTAGGGTGTACCTGGCATTTAGTAGGTAAAGATCAGATGCTGGTAAACGTTTTGTGGTGCCCAGGACAGCTCTCCCAGAACAAAGGATCTGGTCGAAATGGCCGGCAGTGTGGTGCTAGAGATCCCTTCACTTCATTTTACACCCACAGACTGCTACATCTTTTCAGGGCTGGAGCGATAGCACAGCGGTAGGGCGTTTGCCTTGCACGCAGCCAACATGGCCGACCCGAGTTCGATTCCTCCGCCCCTCTCGGAGAGCCCGGCAAGCTACCGAGAGTATCTCGCCCACACGGCAGAGCCTGGCAAGCCACCCGTGATGTATTCGATATGCCAAACACAGTAATAACAAAATCTCCAATGGAGACGTTACTGGTCCCGCTTGAGCAAATTGTTGATCAACGGGAGGGCCTTTTACCGTTATATGGTCCAGGCTATAAATGACTGTGTGAAAATGAATCAAAGGAGGAATTTTGAAAAGGAAATCCTAAAAGTCGTGGATAGAACGATAGATATGGTTAAGGATGCATAAATTACTATTAAAATTTCACCTCTTTCAGAGACTAGGGGATAGCTCAAGGGCCGCAGGCACAAAGACTGAGTGACCCTCTGAACACCTCTAGGTGCTGTGTGGTTCCGTTGTCTCCTAGCACTGAACCATTTAGCCTGTTGCACCAAGTATTGCGGGAAGTGGACCCTAGGCCCCTAGCACTGCTAAATTAAAAAATAAATCACCTCATTCCCTGAAATTACCTTGACTTGATAACCAGCGCCTGTGGATATAAGATCTGGTTGACTTTAGCTCCTAACTCAGAGCAACAAAGCTTGTGGGATATCACTGTGTAATTTAATTCCTCAGGAACAACCCACATCTTCTAATGTCTGTTAAGGTAATTGAGTTTTTACCTGGAAACAATTGAGTTTACCCTGTAGGCAGGCAAAACATATTTGAATTTTCTGCTGATTTCCCCCATTCGCTTTAGGGATTTGATCATAAAGGAGGAACCGTTTAAGTGGCCAGGATTTGTATCTAGAGACTCACTCTATATATCGGCCTTTGTTCTTCAATACCTTAAAAATGTTACTTAGGGGGCCAGAGAACCACCCCCACAATCCGAAGCTGAGGGAGGCTCCTGGTTCCTGCACACAGCACCTGGGACCCTGGAGCACTGGGGTGGGACCCGATTGCCTGACCACCCAAATTTTACATCTGAGAGTTAGAATTTTTTAATTCAGTCACTCCAAGAATTGTTTCGTGTATGGAAAACACCTATATTAAATTTAGTGCAATTTAAGCGCTCCAAATGATAAAGGCAAATATAATACTATAGACTTGAAATTAGTTATATTTGTTAAGATTCTGGGCTGGAGCAATAGCACAGCGGGTAGGGCGTTTGCCTTGCATGCAGCCAGCCTGGCCAAGCGGGTTCGATTCCTCCACCCCTCTGGGAGAGCCCGGCAAGCTACTGAAGAGTATCTCGTCTACACGGCAAAGCCTGGCAAGCTCCCCATGACATATTCAATATGCCAAACACAGTAACAACAAGTCTCAAAATGGAGATGTTACTGGGCCCACTTGAGCAAATCGATGAACAACGGGAGGACAGTGACAGTGACAGTACTAAAATTCTACTTTTTATTTTAAAAAAAAGTTAAAATTGACTGCCAGCAAAGGTAATATGTCCTTAGTATTCTATCACTAAGAAATTTTAGAGCAGTGTTTGTAACATGTAGTTATCCCATCATCATTTTTCAGCCTTATATAAGACATCAGGGAATTTGTCCAACAAATACACAAATGCTCTCAAAGAGACACATACTCTATAGACATATCTCAGGGAAATGGGGTGAGGAAATTACAGTACAGCCATGTATGAATCCACTAAATGAGATCAATTTATATGCACTGTTATGAAAATATACTCAAAGTCCATCAAGTGAGTAAAGATCTAGAGACGGACTTTAACATTAAGGTATTATCATTGGGGAAAAACCTCATACCTCCCCTGCCTTTTCCTAGAAGTTTGTTAAGACAAAGTTGCAATTAGTATTACAGTTTTTAAGAGAAAAATGCTGCTGTGTAAATGGAAGAGTATACGCTGTGCTACTCCAGGAAATAAAACTAGAGTAGAATTTGCTAAAAATAAAAATTTCAGCACATAAAGTGAAACAGTTGTGTGCTTTTGGCCATTTTAGACACTAACCATCTGGAGCTGCCAGATTGCTCTTGCCACGCCTTGCTAATTTAACCAAAAAAAAATCACTCCACTTTCTTAGTGTTTCACAATTGGTCATGAAATAAGACTGACACCGAGAGTCCTATCAAATGAAATTTGATTTAAAAGTGTTTTCCGGGTTTCTTTTTTATTCATTGCTATGAACATAGACCTTAGTTTAAGAGTAAGGACTTTGCATCTTTTGTCACAGAATTCAGTAAGGGACATTCAAAAGGACGTTTGCATTCTAGAACACAAAGGGCAAAAGATACTCACTCTAGTTCCTTTATTAGGAAAACCAGAGTAGAGCAGTAACTCCAGATCACACTGATTTATATTTATTTTAATGTAAATTCTTTTCTCTTTTACCACATATAGAGACATATCAGATTAGATTTTCAATTTTGGATCCAATACCATTCATTTACTTCAGCACTTATCTCAAGACTTAATTCTTCTCACAATTGGCTGACATACCAGTTTTCCTTATAGATTCGCACTTTGTTTTATTTTCCAGACAGTCGCCTACTCTGGTGAAGGTCGGGTGGGGGGCCAAGTAACAGGGTTTGTCTTTTCTTAGGAAGGTGATTGAGAACATGTATACTTTAATTCCTCTCTGCTGTGTTCGTCATCCTATACTTGAGCATTCTTCAGCCTTTTAAACCTGCAGACCGACACCTGTCCTACACAGCAGTTCACAGACCAGTGTTCGCACCAAGGTGGTAGACAGTGGTTTCAACTTTTGTACCTCTGCGAACCGGGACGGCAGCTGAATGCTGCTATCTATCACATTCCAACTGGCCCTTTTCGTACGGGAGAGAGGGAAGGATTACTTTCGCTGTGGAGGAAAGTTGAGCATGCTTGTCTATTAAGGAGAAGGGACTAATGCAAAGCGATGAAAAAAAATAGGATAAGAGGGAAAGTATATTGGGAGGAAGAATGAAAATGGAATGAAAAGCTTTGGTGTAGGCAGGAAGAGCCGTCTTCCTTCTTTGCCCCAAGATGCTGGTGTGGAGTGAAGCTGTGTCTCCTCAGGAGAACAGTTTCTTGACCTTGAGAAGCTACATCATGTAGAGGAGAGCATCTGAGGGTCTTAGGAAAGAAAGAATTGAGTAACAAGGAAAATGGTGAGAGTTTGAAATGGACTTAATGGGGAACAGATTACTGATGAGCAAAAGGATTGCCCTGGATTGGAGGCACATTTCAGGTGGAATGTAAGTGTAATTTGTTCCCAAAAGGGGGCTCTAAAGGCAACTTGCAGCTGAAATTTTTTTTCAAAACAATTAAAAACATTTTTTTCCCACTTATCATTCTGGCCCATACCCCCATGTAATTTGAATCACTGAAATTTTAGTGTAACAAAGAACTGGATTTGAGGCTGGAGAGATAGTCCAGGAGTTAAGGTACTTGCTTTGTGTGAAGCTAACCTGGTTAGATCCCCAGCATTACATATCATCTCCTGAGCACTGCCAGGAATAGTCCCTGAGCACCGCTGGATGTGGCCCAGAAACAAGCAAGTTCTTTTCTGGGCTAGAGAGATAGGGCATTGGTTAAGGCACTTCACTTGCCTTGCACGTGGCCAGATACAACAATAATTTGAATCCTTGTACCTTATATGGTGCCCCAGCACTGCCAGTTGTGGGTCTGAACACACAGGAGTGACCCCTGAGTTCTGCCAGGTGGCTCCCCACCATAAACATCCCCTGGGCTTTCTGGGTAATAGAAAGTCAGAGACCTAGTTAAAATATACTTTGCTCTTACCTAGTTCACAATTAATGTCATTTTTCAATGGTTCATAAGATATACTAGTGGTTTGAGGGTCCAGAGTACTTGAATTCTAGTTAATCCTCTATAATATTATTTTTGTATGAGAAAAAGTAACTTACTTATCGGTGTATCTATTATTT